TCTTGTAAATCAGCTGCAGGCATCACTTATCAGTAGGAAGACATCAACTCTGGGGCACCACCTCCTGCCTGGCAACGTCATTAATTGCAGAAACACACTAAGGCCTTTTAGGCTTTGTTATCCAGAGTTCATTCAGATTTGTTGTTGGAAGCGAGGGCCAAAATCAAAGAAAGAGGAGAGGGAGGAACTGATATTCCTTGGGCTTTACCTATGTTTTCTCCTTAATTTACTCATCATAACAAGTGTGCACATCAGTGCCACATGTTATAAATGTAATACCTAAGGACTGGAAAGGTTAAGTGACTTACTAAATTTATACTATTAGTAAGTAGTGGAGATAGCCATTCTAACTATAATATCCTCAGGGTCCTCACAGTCATAATGCGCTGATTTAAGGGCTCTGTATTGTTTGGTACATTTACTTTAAAAAAACACAGAACAGGGGTGCCTGGGTGGCTCAGTGGGTTAAGCCTCTGCCTTCAGCTCAGGTCATGATCTCGGGGTCCTGGGATCAAGCCCCGCATTGGGCTCTCTGCTCAGCGGGGAGCCTCCTTCTCCCTCTCTCTCTCTGCCTGCCTCTCTGTCCACATGTGATCTCTCTCTCTGTCAAATAAATAAATAAAATCTTTAAAAAGAAATTTTTTAAAAACAGAACATTCAAACACAAGACAGTTATCTGTTGCTGAATGGTATTTTATTAGCTTAATAATTTGGGCCTGCCCTTAGCATTAATAAGCTTCAGCACTAATCACAAGATTTTCATTCACCGGTGGGGAAATTTTCGTCTTTTAAAAAATGCAGTTAGAGAAAGGGCGTCTACTTCTTGGGGGCTGCAGTGACAGCAGGCTTCTCTTCACGGTTGATGGGAATGGTGCGCTCAGGGCCAGAGGCCTGCTTCCTTGGTCCATTCACAGTGAGGACCCCGTCAGTTGACAGGGATGAAGTAATGGCAAGAGGGTCCACATCAGCTGGGATCCGGTATTTCCTATGGAACTCCCGGGAGATGAAACCATGTTCATCCTAACCCAAGAGAATGAGGAAAAAGAGAGATAAGAACAGGAAATAACACACCACTTCAGAACTCAGACATCCTCCTTCCCCTTAGGTATGTCCATACACCATTGCAACAAGAGAGAAAACCCAACAGCTGTTCTGTTTGGGGCTATGATCAAATTGCCTGGGTGGTCACTCCAACCAATGAGAGCCTGAGAAATCTGAAACAGTGAAAACTACCAATCTCCCCAAACTGAGGCATGGCAATTTTTAGGGGTGTTTCCCAAAGGTTTAGATCAGTGTTGAGTCTACAGGATCTGGAATATTTTTCAGCATTGAAGATCTGAGTCCCCAGGGAAGCCCAGAAACGGTCTTCACTCCTCAAGAATGTCCCAGAATGTCCCAGACCAAAAAGACTGCTGCTAAAAACAACACCACCACCACTTCACCCAAAGGGACTATGACCCAGACTTAAATCACATAAGCAAAACTGAAACAGCCCGAGGACCTCAAATTATGCTATTTGATACACGAGTATCTGAATTATCAATAATCGGTAAGCAGCCTCATTTAAAAATGCACCCAGAAACTAAAGAGAAGCCATTCCTCATTTTCTAGAATTCTGCTAAAAACGACCTGCTTCTAGAATTCTCTAGAATTCATTCTGTAGAATTTTGCTAAAACTTTATACCCTACCTTTACACCAGCTAAATCTCAAGCATTTATGCAGATAGGCTCTCAATTAACTGATTTCCACATGGGCTCCAGGGTTTTAGCTCCTGAGTGCAGGTCTGAAACTTAGGCAAATCAAGTAGTTCAGCCTTTTAGATGAGCTAAAGATGAGAGGATTCTGGAACTTCTAAAAGCAAAGTCCCAAAGGCAAGAGCCTTCAGGTTATACACAATTCATTTAATTATGTAAAGTAACCAGGTGTCCAACAACCACGATTCCTAAATCAGTGGTCCTCAACTTTGAATGGACATTAGAATTACCCAGGGAGCTTTTAGAACTGCTGATGCCTGGAGCCCACCCCTTAAGAAATTCTGATTTAGGGGCACCTGGGTGGCTCAGTGGGTTAAAGCTTCTGCCTTCGGCTCGGGTCATGATCTCAGGGTCCTGGGATCGAGCCCCGCATCGGACTCTCTGCTCAGTGGAGAGCCTGCTTCCTCCTCTCTCTCTCTCTCTCTCTGCCTGCCTCTCTGCCTACATGTGATCTCTGTCTGTCAAATAAATAAAATCTTAAAAAAAAAATAAATTCTGATTTAATTGGTCCAGGATATGTCTAAGCACTGGGACTTTTTCTTTTTTCATTCCCCTAGTGATTCTAAGGTGGCCAAAAACCACTGGCTTAAATGGAAAATAAACATCCCATGTATCCCATCTAAGGCAATCGAATCAAAACAAAGAGCAAAACTCGACTTCTCTGGCCCAAACACAACAGCAGATCTATCCCTGTCCCAGACCCTAATAATGGCTTACGACTAGAAAGTCACCAGGCTCAGGGGCTGATGGGAGTGTCCGCTGTATGATACACACTGGATGAATGAGCAGAAGAGAAAACAAGCTACACACCTGACGCTCTTCATGTTTGCCGTGCACCTCAATCACGTCTCCCAACACCTTGACCTTGAGTTCCTCTGGGGAGAAGTGCTTCACATCCAGGTTGACAGAGAATCTGTCCTTCTCCAGGCGCATCTAGAAATAGCATGGTGGAGGGGAAGGGGAAGGAGAAAAGATGGTAGGAACGTGGATGACCTTAGTGCAGTCTCTTCATTCTGTAGACTTGCCTTCTGTCCAGGGGGTTCATCCTCCTGTTTTTGGCTAAAAGTCCCTTTTTGAATAAACATGGTTCTCTGGTTCACGGGAGCCACCACAGTGGTACCCAAGCCATACTGCATGGTCATCAGACCCAAACTTTATTTACAGGGACAGGAGAGAAGACTGGCACCCAGGGGAGCAATCACAAGGAGAGGTCTGGGCATGGCTTCTGCTGCCTCTCTGACCCAATGCCTGGCCTTGTCATTTGTCTGTGAGACAAAGGCCCCTTCTTCTTACTCAGGCCTCTGCCAAGTTTCCCACCCACCCAATCTGGAATGTTCTGCGGGCCCTGATTGTCCTTCCAAAGCCCTTGCTCACTCAGCTCCTGTTTACTCACACTTGAATATTTTTAAACCAGAGTGTGCTCTGTGACATCTCTGTCACCTTATCTGTTCACCCCACTCTCCCACCCTCTTGGGACAAGTGGGGGGTCCCAAGACTGGACCTACATTCTTTACTCATTAGGTTTGAACCCAGGTCAGTGCCCTATCACAGCTCTGAGAAACCTGGAAAATCATAGATGAAGGCATAGAAAGAAAGTAAATAGTGTTTGCTGTCTCCTGCTCCATGCAGTGGAGATAAAAAGCTCAGAACGAGGCAGGACTGTTTCCTGACTCTGAAACTTGAGATGCTAACATTTGTCAGGGGTATGAGATATTAGAAGAGGTGAGCAAAGGAGTCTGAAGGCAGCTCTTTCTCTGTCGATCTTTATGAACCGAACCAGAAAGGGGCACCCTACTTAGAAGCTAGGGGATAGAAGACGATCTTCACAGCATATGGAAAAAATGCAGTCAGTAGGATTCAGTGCAGCCTCCAGTACAAACAGGTAACTGGGGGAAAGGACCAGTGGCCTAGTCTGTCTTCACTGGTGGACGTGCAAGTGCCTAAGACACTGAGACATAGCCAGATTTAAGCAGGGAGAAAAAGGAGAGTAGATGGATATGTTTCCAAGAGGTTCCAGGAAGAGCTCTCCTGTCCTGGCAGAGACTTACCTCTGAGAGCCCGGTGTCAATCCAGCTGGGTGCCCGCAGGAAGGAGGGTGGCCGAAGGTAGAAGGGGCTCAGGGAAGTAGAAGCTGGGAAGAGATCAGACTCCAACAGGTGCTCTCCAAAGAACTGGTCAAAGAGGCGGCTGGGAGAGTGGAAGGGAAAGAAGGGGCGGCGGATCCAGGGGTGGTGGATGGCGATGTCCATGGTGGCTAGGTGAGCGGAGGGGGTCAGCTGGCTGGTCAGCTCCTTCAGCTGCAGCTACAGCCAGCCCCTTATATACGCAGTCTTGTGAAGCTTCTGGAATGGTGATGTCAGGAGTTTTATTATCCCAGCTCACCGCCCGTTCATGGAGACTTGTGATCGGGGATTTGGCAGTGTGACACATACCCAGTACTCACTGAGCTAAGAAAAGAGAAATACAAACACGTCTGAGCTGGCTGATGACTTGTCCTGGTCTTGTTTCACTAGCTTTCCATCCACACCAGTGGCAGGCCCCCCCCCCCCCACAACCAGCCTCTGCTCTGGAGCTGGAACAGAGTCAGGAATCCCAAGCAGGCGGGTAGTGGGCCCCTCCTCCTCTCCAGCCTAGCTGCCAGGGGAATTGGGCCAGCAACTATCTTGGGCCTGGGCAGGAACTGGAATCTTCCTAGGCCAAGCCCCAGGGACATTAACTCTTTGTGGGTCCCTGGAGGAGAGCATTGAGCACCAACAAGTCAGTGCCAGGCATCCCTGTGATGCTCCAGGTTGACCGTAGTCCAGGAGAGGACCCTAACATGAATCTGGGCAGAAGACTTCACCCCACCCCAAAGAGAGGGTGGGAAAGTTTCTTGCATCTTTTATCCTACACAGAGCGCAGAACGTTAAAACCGGGAGAGCTTTATGAAGGAGGGTGCAGGGTGCCTGGGAGGAGGGAGGCTGGAGGAGGCGTAGAAAATGTGCAAACTGTAAGGGGCTCTGGCACCAGCCTCCCCTCCCCAGCTCGCTGCCCAGCCGGGATCCCCTCAGGCCGCCCACGACAGCTGAAGGGTGTGCAGGGGAGGGCACGGGGGTCCAGGAGGCACTGGTCACTCACTTGTCACTGGCGCTCAGGGGCCCTGCTCCCCACCCCTCCCCCGCAGGCTCCGCACTATTTTGGGTGGTGTAGACCCCGCCCCCACCTCCGACCGAGCCCTGGCTCTCCAGGCAGCTGGAGGGGTCGCTGCTCTGTTGGGGCTGCACCTCGGACCAGGGCCGGAGACGCCTCTGCAGCCATGTCGGGCCGCTCGGTGCCACATGCCCACCCGGCCACCACTGAGTACGAATTTGCCAACCCCAGCCGCCTGGGTGAGCAGCGCTTTGGAGAAGGTATGGCACAGACGCCACCCCCTTGCCTCCCACCCCCACCTCCTGAAATTCCGGGCTGACCTCCCAACGGTACTGGCCTCCACCCCACTCTGGGCTTAACTGAACTCCTGGGGCGAGCCATCTCCCACCCCAGACTCCCCCTCCGCCTGCGCCAAGCAGGGCTCTGTCCCATTCCTACTGACCTCGGTGCAGATGCCTTGCCCACAAGGCTCAGATACCTGCCCCTGTCCCCCTTGGTGTGCCTTCTTGTTCCCCTTCTGTCCACCCGGCCCCTGTTTGGTTTGCCCTCCTCCACCCCCATCTCATTCTCTATCTCAGTCCCCTCTTTCCAGCTGCCACCTTGTAGCCGCTGTGTGCCCCTGCCTCCTTTTCCCTCCTTTTCCTACTTCTCTTGCCTCCCCAGCTGCTCTCCCACGTCCTTATCTCCTCATCTCCTCACTTCACTCCACTCTGTTCCCATCTCATTCTCCTGCAACTTGCCTTTTGTCTTCTCTCTCTGCCCCTCAGGCCTTCTGCCAGAAGAGATCCTGGCCCCCACCCTCTACCATGGCTACTATGTCCGTCCCCGGGCCACCGCAGCTGGGGAGGGCAGCAGGGCAGGGGCCTCTGAGCTCAGGCTCAGTGAGGGCAAGTTTCAGGCGTTTCTGGATGTGAGCCACTTCACCCCAGATGAGGTGACCGTGAGGACTGTGGACAACCTGCTGGAGGTGTCTGCCCGGCACCCCCAGCGCCTAGACCGCCACGGCTTCGTGTCCCGAGAGTTCTGCCGCACCTATGTCTTGCCTGCTGATGTGGACCCTTGGCGGGTCCGCGCCGCTCTCTCCCATGATGGCATCCTTAATCTGGAGGCACCGCGGGGTGGCCGACACTTGGACACAGAGGTCAATGAGGTCTACATCTCCCTGCTCCCCGCACCTCCTGATCCCGAGGAAGAGGAGGAGGCCACTGGAGTTGAGCCCTGAGTGCCGTGGAGCTGGCTTGCGGCGAACCCCTTTCTACCTCCACGGTGATATGAGCAGCTGGCCACCACCGCAGAGGTAGCAGCGTCCTTGGGGGAAGGGCAAAGTGCATGGCCCACAATGTATGGTTTGGTCCCTTGAGACATGTCATAGCCTTTGGTTTAGTTCTGGGTGGAGGTGAATAAACCCAAATCTCAGGGCCTTGTTTGTGCTGCTCCCTATTCTGTGGCCTGGACGATGGGATGGGCAGGGAGGGAGGGGCTCATAGCCAGCTAGACAAAAAGCTCCTCAGTTAGATATGCCCAATGTCACAGCACCCTGAGCTCACACTCGGATGCTGAGATCATACCCGGAAGCTGACACTGGCTCCAGATCAAATTCCTAGCCGGAACTTTCTCACAATGCAACAAAAGAGAGAGTGATCCTGGGAGGGAAAAGGGATATACCGTCCAAACAGCCCAGAGGGCACTGTCTGAGCTGGCGATTAGAGACACAAAAACAAGGGTCTCCAGCCTGTCTGGCCTGTTTTGGGTAGGGGTTGGGAAAACAGTTTTAGGCTGGAGAGAGTTGCCTAAAGCCCTGTTTCCCCAGAGTAAGGTCTGTCCACTGAAAATGGTCTCCAATTCTGAGCGATGGGGTATGCATACACAGGGCACAGACACGAAGCCTCTGCCATTGTCACCAAACCACACAGTGGCTCCAACCTGTACATACGGGAGGCCTATGACAGAAAGCATTTGTTTCTAATCTTGGAACATGCCAAAGAGAGGAATTCCTGAATCACCCACCCAGTTTAAGACTAAATGCAGGGGGACCAGGGCTGTTTGTGTGGTGATGATGGCCAGGGAGCCCTCCTTTGGAAGCAGAGTCTTTTTTTTTTTTCTTTTAAATGTCAGAGAGAGATTGTGAGTGAGCACAAGCAAGGTGAGCAGCTGGCGGAGGAAGAAGCAGACTCCTCACGGAGCAAGAAGCCCCATGAGGGACTCGATCCCAGGACCCTGAGATCATGACCTGAGCTGAAGGCAGACGCTTAACTGACTGAGCCACCCAGGCATCCCAATTGAAAGCAGAGTACTAATACTAGGGACACGGTGTGTTCAGGAAAGCGTGGTTGTCTGACTCCTCAGTTACTGTGTCGTTCATGCACGTGTCTGATTTGAGGAGTGTCAGAAGACCTCCTTGCCCCCAACTATGTGTTTTATAGTTGTGGTGGACATCTGAAATTCTTCCATTAAAGTGGTTGATTCTGAACCTTAGGTTACAGACCCGGTTGAAAAACCTAGCAAAAGGAATAGGTTCTCTTACCAGAAAAAATACACATGCTATCAAATTTGCCTTACCGTTTGAATAGGTTCACACAGCTCTTGAGTTCCACTCATACACCCCTCCTTAGGGATTTGTGGATTCCCAAGATAAGAGCCCTCACTCAGTGAATTCACTTCTTGGTTAAAGCGTTAACATTTATTAAAAATGAAAGCATGCCTCAGAGAAATAACAATGAATATATTCGTTTGTTCATCCATTCATTCAACAAATGTTTCTCAACCCCCAAGTAATACACTATGGTGGATATACATTATAAACATAGATTTTATTTATTTATTTATTTATATTTAAAGATTTTATTTATTTTTTTGAGAGACACAGATCACAAGTAGGCAGAGAGGCAGGCAGAGAGAGAGAAGAAGGGAAGCAGGCTCCCTGCTGAGCAGAGAGCCCGATTCAGGGCTCGATTCCAGGACCCTGGGATCTTGACCTGAGCCAAAGGCAGAGGCTTTAACCCCCTGAGCCACCCAGGGACCCCTAAACACAGATTTTAAAAAACCATGATCTTGTATTGTCTACTCTCAAGAACCTTAATCTAACTGAGAAGAAAAAGAAACTAGAAAGGCTCCTCTTCGGACTTCAACCAGAAAAACTTCCATTGATCTATTTTGGAATTGTTATTTTTATGCGAGCTTTATTTCAAAGAGAGGTTTCCTTAGATAGAAAAAAAAAAAAATTGAAACTTCTCATTTAGTCCAAATCCCCACACCACTCAAATTCTTTTATAACTATTAGTCAACTTCCTCTTAGGACATTTTAAGTGACAGAGAACTTAGAACTTCCTGAGTTCTTGTTGGCAGTTCTTCATCAGAACTTTTTGGATGTATTTCTTACAATTTCTGTTAACTCCAAATCTTCACTTTAGTAACCTCTGCTCACTGGTCTAGTTATGTCCAGAAAATCAATGCAATCCTTCTTTCACTTGGGAGTCCCTTGAAGATTTTTTAAATTAACCATCCCATCCCCTTAAGGCTTCTTTTTCCCAAGTAAACATATCTAATTCTTTTAACCATATTCTATAGGACTTTTTTTTTAGTTTGTTTATTTGTTTATTTATTTATTTATGTAATCTCTACACCCAATGTGGGGCTCAAACTCATGACCCCGAGATCAAGAGTTGCATGCTCTATTGACTGAGCCAGCCAGGTGCCCCTAGGACTTTCCAAACCACTTATCACTTAGACAACTTTCTCTTGAACACACTGCCTTTTGACGATGTAACTTGAAATTCAACATGTAGATGTAAAATTATTATTTCAATCACAGGCTGACTGGAACAGACTTTACTGGAATCATCAATACCCTTGCTTATCACTCTAGAATTCCATTAATGCTGCTTAAGATGTATCAGGCTTTCTGGGTACCACAATACACTGTTGATTGCTTTGGAGTTTCTTTCTTTCTTTTTTTTTTTTAAAGATTTATTTATTTATTTATTTATTTATTAGAGAGAGAAATCACAAGTAGGCAGAGAGGCAGGCAGAGAGAGAGGGGGAAGCAGAGAGCTGCTTCCTGCTGAGCAGAGAGCCCGATGCGGGGCTCGATCCCAGGACCCTGAGATCATGACCCGAGCCGAAGGCAGAGGCTTAACCCCCTGAGACACCCAGGCACCCTGGAGTTTTGTTCATAAAATCTCTTTGGTGTTTTCCTTCATATTAGAGAAAGTGGCTGAAAAGGAACCAGATTGTGGAGGGCTTTGAGTGCCAGGCTAGGATGTTTGGGTTATCAGGATGAAAAGAATACAGTTAATGGTAGAATACAGAAGGAATTGCTGGGGAGAAGCATAACCAGGCAGCAAGAGGCTAGTGAGATGATCCAGCACAAAATAGTAAAGTAAGATGCTTTGCCGTCCCCCAGGTAGCTGAGAACAAGAAGCAGTAACACTAGCTAGGACTTAGTGAAAGCTTCCCATGTGAGCCCAGCAGGTTTCACAGATTCTCCCAGAGCCCATAGTTTCTACAGAGGAATTTGCTCATCTGCAGCTTACTCGTTGGAGAGAGTGGAATGAGTCTGATGTTGGGTGGCTAGAAGGAGAAAGTGGATTGTGGGAGTGGAGCTTCCATAGTTCTGTACTGGGCATGAGGAAGTAAGTGGTCAGGAAGTGCTGAGGCCATTCCAATCGTAGAATCATATGATTTTTGACCAGAAAGGGGATTAGGCAGTGAGTTGAGTCCTCTCTTTCACCCTCGTAGATAAAAGTGATTTGCCTACATTAATTCCAAAAGCAAGGGAGAATATAAAAGGAATCCATGTCCCCAAATTTAAGTTTCCAAGAGACTCCAGTATTCAAACCCAGATTCTAGACAGGGATAATAAGAAACTGATACTGGTCATGTTGAAAGTGAAACTCCATTAAGCCTGAGTAGTGCTGGGGAAACACAAGGTAAGACTCTTCATTCCATTATAGAGGATATATTTCAATGACTGTGAGGTAGTAGAGAAAACACTTCCTAAGGAAACCCAGAGCTCTTTTCTATCTCACGTTTCTTTTCACTGAAGCCTGAAGCTCAAAGTTCATGGCTTCATCAAAGCAGCTCCAAATCCCGAAGGTGAGATGGTTCTCACCTGGAGCCCATGTGTGTTCCTCTACCCTTTGGCTGGGAACAAGTCACCTGGGACTCACTCCAGCAGGTGGCTTCCAAAGTCCAACCTGCTAGGTTGAAATCTGACACTGACGGAGACTCCCTGGGAGCTGCTATTGAAAGCTGAACCAGGAACCAGGAAATGCACCAGCCTCTACACGTAGAAAACAGCTGGGCTCCCTCAGAGACAGAGCACCATGGGAAACCAGCTCTGCTGCACGGGAAGCTGGTGAGTAGGGGCTGGGGGTTCAGGGGAACGTCTCTGTTGGTGGACATGGAGGCCCAGGGAGTAAGAGAAAGCCTGCTGATAGTTCTCGACCTCCCTCCCACTGCCGCCTCCCTCTGCCTGGCACATCTCCGGGTGCCCCACCAGAGCATTACCTCTTTCTGTCTTCCCTCCTTTCAGAAAGCCTCAGAAAACACAGCCAAGCCTGCTGACTGTGGAGGGGCCAGGGCAGGGCCGGAATGGTGAATTGGCATGGGTTCTCTCGTCTTCCTCTCCTTTCCTTTCTTCCCCGGAGGATAATCATCGTTCTAGCAGAGCTTACTACCCTCCCGGCACTTTTCAAACAATCTCTTCCCAACGATGCTATGAGGGAGGTGGCCTTACGAGTCCTGTTTCAAACAGCTGAGAAGCTGAGGCTCAGGGAAGTTAACTTGTCCCAGGTCACATGGCCAGTGAGCGAGCAAACGAACATTCCAACCCAGGCCCTTCGGACTTCAGAGCCTGTGCTTTTAACCATTACAAAATATTGCCTCCCAAATCAAGCAAATCGACTTTGGAGCAATGTCATTTAAAAGGGCAGGAGTGGGGTGACGGAGAATGCCCAAGGACTATTTGAATACAGCTTCCACGTTTACTTAGTGCGTGCCCTTAGGCAAGTCCTGTAACTTCTCTTTTTCCTCATGGATATAATATAGATAACATGACCTATGTTGTTCAGATCATAGATTTGAAGAGCAGAGGATATGTGAAAGCCTCACAATAATTTATTTGTAGTGTTTTACCTGTTCTTTCCCAGAAGTGTAAATCACTCTAAACCCCCCACCTGGTTTTATCTTGTTCGCTGTTTTCTTATCTATACCTTCCATGCCTGGGTCAGTCTTGAGGATGTCTTGCTCATGAAAAAAATCATCCTTATATTTAGAGAAATAGATAAGGTACATTGAAAAGCCCATGTGATTTGGAATAGGTACATTGGATTCCAGTCCTGTTCTTACTACTTGTTCATTTATTAAACAAATATTTTATTGAACGCCTATATGTGCCAGGTATAATGACAGGTGCAGAGGACATAGTGATAATGGGAAATTTGGCTCCTGCCTTCTTGAGTAAGAAACCAAAACTCTAGGTCCTCAGTTGGCCCATCTGTGAAATGGAAACAATAATGAGATTCTCAGAATGTTATCAGGATGGGGGGGTACTTTTTTAAACTCTGAGATGTCCCATAGACATAGGACACTTAGGGATATCTAAGAATTTTTTTTTTAAAGATTTATTTGAGAGAGAGAGAGAGAGAAAGAGATAGGGGAAGGGTGGAGGGAAAGCAGACCTCACTGAATGGGGAGCCTGACGGGGGGCTTGACTCCATGACCCTGAGATCATCACCTGAGCCGAAATCAAGAGATTTCCAACTGAGCCAGCCAGGCACCCCGACATCCAAGAATTTCTGCAGAAAGGGTGTCACAGGTTCTTTCACTTCCTTTGTTCCAAGTTTTCATAGTCTTCATTTTTGGTAAGTTCTTCCTCTAGTGGTGTTGTAATGATAGCAGTCAGCTTTTACTGATGCTCATTATATGTCAGGCACCTAAATGAGTATTTTACATTTTTTTTTACATAATACCTCCAGTAGTTCATTGGGTTTAGGTTCTACTGTTATCCTCGTTTTATTAATAAGAAAATGAAAGCCTGAGGAAGCTAAAAACTTGCTGGTCATACAGCTAGTCTGTCTGACTCTAGAGCCTGGCTAGCAACACTACCCCCAATATTCTAACCAAAACACTTTTTTTCCTTCTTAAAATAAATAGTAGGACAAGGGGTGCCTGGGTGGCTCAGTTAGTTAAGTGTTCAACTCTTGGTTTCGGCTCAAGTCATGATCTCAGGGTCCTGGGATTGAGCCCCGCATTGGGCTCTCTGCTCAGCAGGGAGCTTGCTTCCCCCTCTCTCTCTGCCTGCCTCTCTGCCTACTTGTGATCTCTCTCTGTCAAATAAATAAATAAAATCTTTAAAAAAAATAAAAAAATATTCTAAATATATTTATAGCAACCATAAATGATGAGAACATTTTAGTCTATTTCCATGTAATCCCTTTTTTTTTTTTTTTGGTGTACCTCATAGTTACATTTATCCAGGCCACAAAGGAAACAACACGTCTACGAGTGTACTGAGTGTACAGCAATGCTCCGTGTTCCCCCCCTTCAACAGAGCTGGCTGAGAGTCACAGCCAGACTGACGTTCCATCTGATGCGGACTCCCAGTAAAGCTGATCAGGGATGACCATGCGCAGGTGCAGGACTCCAAGCTTTCAAAGCTTTATCTTTTATCAGCAATCCTGATTTTATACACGGTGAAGCCCCTCACCCCCGTTCCTGATAAACTGATAAACTGAGGGCCTTCATGGGAATCCAAACATTTTCAACAAGGCTTTGAAGCATCTCAGCACAGAACCTCTGGCTCAGGCCACCCTACCCCACACAGCCAATGACTCGGAAAGGTCACCTCATATAATTTGTTTGAAATACCTAGGTGCATAGCTTTTATCCCAAAACATGCCTTATTATCCTTTTATTAACTTAAAGAGTAAGATTTTCCATGCTATTAGATGTTCTTCCAACATGTTTCTTAAATGGATGTACAATGGTCCCTTTAGTGGAGATGTCCTTTATTAGTCAGTTCCCGATACTGGACGTAAAGGATGTTTCCTATTCTTTACAATTGTAAATATTCCTGCAACGAGCATCCATATTTGTGCCTGCTTATTTCTTACGATATGGAATTGCTACATCAGAGGGTACACACTTTATGTTTAAGCTTCCTTATACTTCTTGTCAATTGCATTCCAGGAAAATTGAGCCAATTTTTATTCATACTATCAATATAGGAAAGTGCCCGTCTTGTTTTCTGAATTCTGAGCTAAAAATCAAATCCTATCGACTATGAGTCTACCAGAATACTCCATTTAGGTTGTGTCCAGGCATTGTATAGCATCTGACTTGGGATCAGGCTCCATTCACTAACATAGGGCCGCCCAAATCTGTTGCGTTAGAATTTATGTTCTCTTTATCCATTTAAGTAGAAGTAAGTAGGAGAACAGTGGCAAAAAGGGACAAGAAATTAGAAGCTAGGATAAGGCTATGACTTGAGTGAGGTAAAGAAAAAAGAAAGGAAGGAGGAGAGAGAGAGAAAGAGAAAAGAAAAGAAGGAAGAAAGGAAGAGGGAGGGAGGGAAGGAGGGAGAAAGAAAGAAAGATAGAAAGAAAAGGAAATGTGGAAGTAGAAGGAGTAGAAAGACCTAGAAGTGGTTTCACAGCTTTTCTTCTGAACCACCTCTAAACTTCAGATGGTGATTCTATCTGCTCTCAACTCAGCAAGCTGCATTAAAACCAAAAATCAAACCAAAACACAAGCCTTTGTCAAATACACGTGGGAAAATCATGATTTTTCCACAGTAGTAAAATAGACATGATCTAGAAGTTTCCTTCTCTCTCCCTCTCTCTCTCTCTCTCTCTCTCTCTTTCTTTTCAGTTAGCAAAAGGAGGAAATTTCCTTATGGAGACAGAAGTCACACAGACAGGGTTGGCTCCGGTGAGAGTTTGGAAATGTACTAGCAAGAAAAAGCATCCAGAGTAAGCCCCAAACTATTCAGCCTATTTCTTCAGACAAGTGTTTTTCTCTGGCCATCACACAGTTGACAATCACGTAGACACACTGGCTCCACCGGGGACCCCAGAGGTTCCTAAATGAGTCGGTCCTACAGCTCAGAAATGAGGTCTGTCCTGCAGCGAGGACAAGGTAGCTGAGTCACTCACCAAATTCAGAGCTCCCTGTGCTGTGTGTGTTAAAGGTTAAATATCTCTCACTTTCTCTGTTAATTAAAAACAAGGACAGGGAAGCAGGGAGGGAGATCACCTGCTAGAAAAGGGCTTTGAGGGGTCCTAACTTGTTAGCCCTCATTGTGGCAGCTTCTGTGACTCCCAGAGTGAGAACCCCATGTTGGCAGAGACCCCGAAAAAAAAAAAAAGCACCGAAGCAGCAGCAAGAGGGTCTCTGAATCCAGGAATATCCCATTATTTGGCGGGTTTCCCTCACCCTCTGCTGGGATTAGCCTGTTAGACAATCCCAGAATAGCCCTCAACCCAGCTATATCCCTGGCATGCTGTGCCTGGTTGCCTGAGGCTGTATTTTGGGTTTGGTTATGTCAGTTGTACCACTCCACTTTCCAGAACCATCCTTGTGGGAGAGATGTGGTACCCTTGATAAATGCTTTCAGGCTGACTTAGGGTGAATCTTTGAGGGAAGTGAGAGGGTCATCCCAGAATGTTAAGGAGACCACAGAACAAATGATGAAGGTGAGAAGATTGAGGCCAGGACTCTTACACGTGGGTGATCTGTGTTTCTTTTCACAGGAGCTGCCCATCAACTTCCCAGAGGAAAAAGAAAACGGGTAACTGGGTGTTGGGGATGGGGGCTCGGAGTGGTTGAATTAGAGAAGACGCTAGAACCAGTGTCTTTGGAAAGGGCATAAGAATGCAAAAGAGAAGTAGCCTTGGAAGGGGTAAAGGGAGATAGTACACCAGAGAAAATCTTCAGGGTTTCCAGACCGGTTCTGAAATGCTGGGTCTCATCCTTTCCATTATTTTAGAGTGGCAAGGTTGGTTGTGCGTTCTTTCATTCACCCAGCAAAAATTAACTGAGCACGTACAGTGTATGTGGGGCACTCTGCTGGGTCCCAAGGAGGCAGAGAGGCACAAGGACACACGGTCTCAGTCCTCGAAGAGCTCAAAATCAAGCTTAAGAGACTTATTTACACATAAACAAGTAAATGCGATGCCATCTACTAGTGCTGTAAGATTCACACTCGTACAGTAGGAGAATGGGAGAAAACACCAATGTCGAGGGAACAGTAGCAAGTCCTCAAGCTGGAAAAGGAGCAGAGAAGAAAAAGGTGGGTAGTGGCATTACCCCATGTAGAAGAAAGAACAGAAAGAGAAAGAAAGAAAGAAAAAGGAAGGAAGGAAAGAAGGAGAGAAGAGAAAAGAAGGGGGAAGAAAGGAAGAAAGAGAAAGAGGAAACAAGGGGCTGAGTTGACTGAGTGACTGGTGTGGCTGAGCACTGTAGTAATAGTCTGTATAGTAGACTGCAAGCTCCCTGAGGCAGAGGAAATAGCTTGCTCCTCCTTCTAGCCCCAGAACGTGCCACACAGCTTGGCATATAATGCGCTCTCAACATGTACCTGCTGCACTGTGTTAGGCGCCGGTGAAAAATGAGGATGGACGATCTTATGGGCAGAGCATGACAGGAGTCTGGATGTGGGAAGGGCAGCAGTGAAAGAGGTGCGAGCCGAGGCAGGAGATTAGTTAGAAGCCCACCATAATAGTTTGAGATTCAAAGAGGGCAATCTCAGTAGAGACAAGGAAGAGAGAATGAATTTAAGGTGGGTTTCTTGCTCTCAGGAAGCCAAGCAAGACGGGCCCCGAGGCAGCAGCAGCAGCAGCAGCAGCAGCAGCAGCAGCAGCAGCAGCAGCAGGAGCCGCGGCGGCGGCAGAATGGTGTAAAGGTAATGACCGGCTTCTGCCCCTTCCAGGGGGTTGCTCCGATGGGGGACCTGAGGACTCAGCTTTTACACCCTGTCACACATCTCAGTTATCTTGAACCAGAACTTGTTGGTCTGCCCCTCCAAGGAGCCAAGCGAAGGGACATCAGAATCACCGGCCCTGCTTTGTGGGTGAGGGGCAAAAGCAAGCCAAGAATGTCCCTTAATGCTGTCCGTCTCTTGCAGGCCCATGACACAAGAGGACCTATTTACGAACAGGTGTTAGAGAAGCCGGCGACTCAGGAGCGGAGTCCAGGCCTCAGGTTGAAGGAGAGCAGCTTGCATTACGCAGACATTCAAGTGTGCAGCTCTACCCAGCCGCGCTCTGCTTGGGAGGTCAAACACCTGCAGTCAGAAAATGCTACTCAGTACGCCACTCTCCGCTTTCCCCAGGCCACACCGCGCTATGACAGCAAGAACGGGACCCTAGTGTGAGCGCTGGGGAGGTCGGACCTGTTTCCATCCCTTCACCCATGGGGAGAATCTGCCCTGGGGAAGTGGCTGGCGGCCCAGCGATGGCTGCGGCGTTTTCAAGAACTCCAGAGCCCTTGCGAGTGCCCCCAGTCTTGCCCCCTTCCCTAGGCCTATTGTCTTCTTTGCCACCATTAGCTTGGAGTTGTATTGGGGCTAGCCAGGGGTGGATGGAGTTCCACAAAACGACGGGGGCTAGGATGAGCTGCCGGAAGTCTGTTGGCCCCTACCTTGGTTCCTGCTTTCAAGAAAAGTGCTGATTAGGACAGGTTGCCCCAGCACTTGAGCTGGTTTTGTTGGGATTAATTTAAGGGTGTCTCTTCTACACACCTTAAACGCCCAAGCTGAAGAAGGAGAGATGCTCTGGGAAAGCATTCCGATTCTTGTGCACAGCCCCCAGAGCTGGCTTGGGCAGTTCCTTCAGTGGTTGGGGTCAAGGGTGCCAGAAGCCAGACAGACAAACGAGCCCAGGGGCTGAGGCTGACCATGGGTTACCAGTACTTCAAGTCCCTGACAGCACTGCACGGCCCGGAAACTCCCCTTGGCTGGACTGTGGGCTCTCGCAGGTGCGGAGCCGCTAGGATCAATAAATCGCAGAAGGAACGTGCCTGGTGCGTTTTCCGGGGTGGGGGTCTGCCGGCTCTACGTCAGAGAAGCAGGTCTCGCTCAGCCTGAGGGCAACCAGGAGATCCCGACACTTCGCGCCCGACCCTGCAGGCTTTGGCTGGGGCGGAGGGGGGTTGTGGTTTGGAGGCCCAGGAGGCGGGTTCGCATCTGCAGGAGGCGGAGCTCCCTGGGCCAGTCCCGGCATTTGGGGGGCCGAGTCGGCCCGCAGGAGGCGGGTCAAGGAGGCAGGAGGCAGGGTCAAGGCCTGCTGAGGAGGCGGTCTGGGCCTTTAGGAGGCGGAGCCAGCCGGGCAGGGGGCGGGGCCTAGGTTGTCCTGGGCTGGCTCGCGCCGGCGGGGAGGTGGGCGGGGAGGTGGGCGGGGCCGGGCGGGGGCCGGCCTCGCGTCACCATGGCATCGGGAACGCAGCCGCGACGCTGTATCAGGAGGAGGCCGAGCTCAGAAGGGCGGGGGTCAGAGATGCTCAACCAGACGCACCGAGGATTTAAGAGGTAGGTACTGAAATGTGTGTGTGTCGGGAGGGAGGGCAGAGGGGACGTGCCTGGAAAATATACTTACCACTAACTGAGCGTCCAGATCAAAACGGGGAACACACGGAGGGGTGGGGGTGGGGGTGTCGCTGGAAAGAAGGAGGCGGAAGTTTCAGGTTCTGAGCCTTACAGGTTCTTAGGGTGCAGTTCCTGATTCAGACCTTCAGAGCTTGGAGACGTGCCCTTTCAGTCTGTATGCCAGCCTCCCCAAATACCAATGCCCCTTGATTTATCCCTTAGAGGGGCGATTCCTTAAGACGAACACAGTACTTCGTGAAAATGGAATCACAGCACAAAATAGTTGGTAATCATAGTATCGACTTCATAGAACGTTTGTGAGTATTTAAAACACATAGTGTGTAGTCGAATATAAGCTGCCGTTATCATCATTATCATCATTTTCCCGGCCTGTTGTCTGGCATAGACCTAGTGCAAGTCGACTTGGAAGAAGTGGCTAGAAAACTTCTTCCGCTACTAACTGGCGAAGTAACTTCCTAGCCTGTTTACTATTAGCTGGGACGGAATACCGTGAACTTTATTTCCAACCGTTGTTTACTATGATTGTCAAATTCAATGATGTAGGTGATAACACTTTGTACACTTAAAGTGCTACGTAAAAATTTCTGCTTTAAAATATCAATACAGCCCTTCTAGGTTAAAATGGAATTCCTGAGGATGAATGGAAGTGCTTGCTATAAGCAGAGCTCCCAGTATTTATTTGTCTTGTCTTCAGAATTCTTACTGTGGTCATTGACTGATTGTCTTAGGGAGGAGGGAAAATGCATTCTTGCTTGACTGATAGGGAAGCATTGGTCTTTCCTTTATTACTGTTAAGTCTAAGTGGCTAGTTTTAAAAATACTCCTGGGATAGCCCTGTTGTGGTTATAATATCTTTGGCTGGATTTCCTTCTGACCAGGGTCCCATTTCTGAAACTTGTAGATGACATAAATTGATAGATTTGGGGCAGGGGCCTGACACTAGTAGATTGGTTTAGCTTTGGAATTTTTTTTCGTGTCCAGTATTTTTGTACATTGTCCCTCTTCCTATTTTAAGGTGGCCCTGATCCGGCTTTTCTAGGGACTCTGAAGATGGGGACTCAAGTGGTTAGGAGACTCTGTAACTCCCTGATGCCAGCAGAGCCCTCTGTAAGTTTCTGGTGTACTGTTGAAAGGAGTGTGATGACATTAATGGAATTTTGGTACAGTTCAACAACTGGGGGATTTCTCCATCAAGACTCAGATCCTGGAACAAAATTGTCATATATTTGCTTTCTTTTCTTGCTTCCCCTTCTTGTAGAAATTCTAGCTCCCTTGATTCATTATTAATAAAATCAGGGAGAAGTTGAAAAATTATGGCAATTAATCAGAATGTAAGCAGTTTGAAAGATTTAAATAATGTCTTATAGAAATAATGCATGCTAATTATAGAGCATTTGGGAAATATTGCAAACCATGATTTTATTTATTTATTTATTTTTAAAGATTTTGTTTATTTGAGAGAGAGAGACAGAGAGAGGGAGAGAGCTTGAGCAGCAGGGAGGGGCCAAGGGAGAGGGAGAAGCAGGGAGCCCTATGTTTAACCCGACTGAGCCACCCAGGCACCCCTAAAACAAATATTTTAACAATTTCATATTAACAAACTTAGTTTAAAAAAAAGCAAGAGTCAAGGGGTGTCAGGGTGGCTCAGTCTGTTAAACATCCTACTCTTGGTTTTGGCTCAAGTCATGATCTCAGGGTCATAAGCTCTAGCCCTACATTAGGCTCCACACTCAGTGGGGAGTCTGCTTCTATCCCTCTCCCTCCTTATGCTCACTGTCTCTCTCAAATAAATAATAAATAAATCTTTCAAAAATGTTTTATTATGGTTACAAATGTCTGGTAAGCATATTTTTCTTGACAATTTTTCTGTTTATTGGACTTTTAGGTTCCCCTCCCCCATTGTAAGTAACAAATTGATTTCCTCATTTAAGACTTTTTTCTTAGGGTTGGTTTCCAGAAGTGGAATCCATAGGTCAAAGGACGTGAATATTTTAAGTAATAAGTTACCTTTTAAAAGAAGAATCCTGGTGTCAAATTACATATACATCTTCCAGAAGGCAGAGGGTCATCAGCTGAGAGATAGAAGAGTTCTTGGTAGAAATCAGGCTGCCTCTTGCAATGAGACCTTAGGTCCTGCAGAAAGATTATTTCATGATAGTGTGGTTAGTAACCAGCTAGTTAGGAGCCCTAACGTGAATGGCAATCCAGAGGTGTGAGGACTTGTGTAGTGTTTACATAGTAAAGAAATTTAAGAGACACTTCCAAAATATCCACCAGATGTCGCTAGTCTTAATCTAATTTTTACCTTTAGGATAACCAGCAGATAACTTTTGAGATGTGAATTTCAAAAATTCATGTAGAATGTATTTGCATATCTGCTTAAGTACAGTGTATATTAAGCACTAGCATCTGGTGATTACTTTGGCAACATCCCACTCTAGGCTCTTACCATTCTGTCTCTTTTTCCCTTTTTCTTCCCACTCAGTCTGTCACACTCACCCTGTACACTCTGTCCCCACCTACTAATATTGGATTCTCAGTTTTACTAGTCTTCCTTTTACTATTCTGTCTTTCAGTCTTGTTTCTTGCCTCTTGGTATATTTGTATATTTATGTATAACTGTGAGTTCCTTAAGTTTTTTGCTAAAAGAATGGGAACTGGCATATAATGACATATAATAGGAACTCAAGATATTTAGTGAACGTTTAATGAAAAAAGACGTCGATGAAGGGGATGAAAATATAGAAGGATACCAGAAATTATTTATATTTGTCTTGGAAATACACTGAAAGAGACTAAGATTTATACTTCTAAATTAACTATACTTATATGCTAAGTGATATACTATAGAACATGTTGTGACCTTTGAATTATAAAAAGAGGAATACTCATTCATTCAGCCAGGATTTACTGAGCATCTACTATGTGCCAGGAAACATTTTTTTTTTTTTTTTCCTGGAGATAAACCAGTAACAAAACATACAAATTCCCTGCTCTCATGGACCTTACATTCTGGGCAGGGAGACACTGACAATAAGCAAACAAACAAGTAAATACAGACAATACAAGACAGTGAGGAATGCTGGGAAGAAAAATAAAAATAAATTAGGCAAAGAGGTTTGGGAGTGCCTAGGTGAAGGGGTGCTGTCATTTTATGTATTTACTTTTATTTATTTATTTATTTATTTTAAGATTTTATTTATTCATTTGACAGACAGAGATCACAAGCAGGCAGAGACGCAGGCAGAGAGAGAGGAGGAAGCAGGCTCCCCGCTGAGCAGAGAGCCCGATGCGGGACTTGATCCCAGGACCCTGAGATCATGACCTGAGCCAAAGGCAGAGGCTTCAACCCACCGAGCCACCCAGGCGCCCCTATTTATTGTTTTTTAAGTAGGCTCTACACCCAGTGTGAAGCCCAGTGCAGGGCTTGAACTCACAACCCCAGGATCAAGACCTGAGCTGAAATCAAAAGCCAGATGCTTAACCGACTGAGACACCCAGGTTCCCTGGGTATTGTCATTTTAAATAGGGTGATCAAGGAAGGCTGAACAGGTAAAAGTGATATTTGAGCAGAAACCTGAAAAAAGGACAGGAATGAACCATGGATTATCTAGGATTTGAGTATTCGAGACAGATTAAGATCTGAGCTGCCTTGATTTTCAGAAAACCAAAAGTGGTCAGAGGAGTTTTGGGAGGAAGCAGAACTTGAACTAGACGTAGTAAAGATCTGAGTGGCAGAAGTATGGGACCTTCTAGGCTGACGGACAGTCGTGAAGGCATAGGGGTAAAAATGAACCCTGGGAACATGTGAGACAGAGAGGGGTCTGCTAACCTGAGCATAGACAATTTGGGGGAGGGCGTTAAGAGTGGGGCACGAAGAATTTATATCTGACAGGAAAAAGGAGTGTTTGAAAACACTTGACCATTTGAGCAGGAAGATGAATGCATTGTCTAAGTAAGATTAAGGGGTGTAAGCTGGCAGAAAAGCCAAGAAACGAGCCAGGACACTGGTGGGGTGGGGGGGGCTTTGCTGATAGATGCGAGCTCTTTTGTGGGCATTTATGCTGATGTGTCTGAAGATAAATGCAGTAGAAATCATAAACTTATGTTACTGCCAAGAAACTCGCCAGTGTGTGAAAACAGAAAAAGATTAAGAAATTATTTCAGAGTCATTTAAAATATTTCCTTTGATAATTTTAATTATCTGTTTATTCAGACTGCCTTTCTGCTTCTTTGTAGTCATTAATGATTGCCCACAATAGATGTATTAAATTGACACAGGTGTGGATTTCACACATTTCCATACAGGGAGAAGTCACAGTCAATATTTTCACTGAATGACAGTTCTGTTTGAAGCTCGTAGTCTTACTTAGGCCATCATATTATTATCTTTATTAATAGAAGTGATG